TTGCCCTCTTACAAGTTGAGCTAGGATTAATTTTAGCTTCACAGTTGCTCGGAAAACCTCCAAACTATAATGGTTCTTCAGATGACATCGTTTTGCCATCTGTCTTATAAAAGGCACAAGCAAGAATGATGATGGCAATACTGCAGAGCTTTGGGAGATAAATCAAAGAACCGTCTCTGGAACCCACGTGACATTGCCCTTCTGATTAACAGTTGGCTCTCTGGAAGACAGGCTGCAAAGCAGAATGGCCTGAGGAGAAGCTTTTTATATTTATGCAGCAAGATGATTAGTAACAGCTGGAAAACCAGTATTGCTCATCTCATATTCAAAATAGGAATGAAGCTAAGAATGATTACTGAGTGGGAATATAAAGCCTAGGAAAAAAAAGGTCGGGAAATTATCTATATAGAAATTCCAAAGATATTTATGTGCATTTTTATAGTCTTTGTTCAGACATCTTTAAACACAGATTTTAGAGACAAGGGTGTTTTTGTTGAAAATGGTTTTCCTGTTTGTTCCTGTTTGGAAATGTTTCTTTTGTATCTTTAACAAATGCTTCTGATCTGGACCAAACACCAGTAAGCCTCATTTTGGCAAGACTAGACAGAGAAGCATGATTGCAAAATGAGATAAATTAAGGAGCATCTTAGGGGAGAAAAAAACACTCTCTTTCTATGTTAGAATTATTTAATAGACATCACAGCAATAAATAAATGGGAAATGAATTTAACTTATCTGGGCTTTCAGAAAGTTTGATTAATCTTCTTTTAGAGAGGCCTGTTGAGGACAGTAAAGTATGCAAAAGATGCTAAGTTAATGCCTTTCCTGGTTGAGAAGAAACAGCAAAAATAATTCTGTTTTGCATTGGAAATAATGGGGGCTCAAGGATTTTCAGTAGACTTTGCTGCCTGCGGCATATTTAGCGTATTGTGGTTTTTGTGAGCACACAAATACAGAAGGTAACAAAGTATAGGAATTTAGGTAGCCAAGGCCAGTGATGTTTAACATTTATTAATGAGCCATGAATGTTAATACAAAGTCATTGATTAAAATTAACAAAGAAAGTTAGATGATTGGACAAATAAAATGTAGGGACAGTAATTCTTACTCGATGGGACAAATTGACTTGTCTTTGGATTCTCAGAAACCTCATCCCGTTTCAATTCAAATAAAAATATGCAAGCACGGTTGCAATTAATGAAATCCAGGCATTTTTCTGCTAGGCAAATAAAATCCGAATTAGTTGGTTCAAAACATAGATATGCTTTACAGGTAGCTTTTTATTAGATATGTTGAACTTGGTGTAAAGTTACTTACATCTTGTGTTACACATGTTATTCCTTAAAACTGGAGAATTTTTACCTTTTTCACTACCTACCCAAGTCCTTTTCTCCTTTATGCTGGACACAAAATTACGGAAGTGAGAATGCACTTTGGTGTCACTCCTGTTCTGCTCAACTTCCTAATGAGACAGAGTACTTTGTAATTAGGTACTTTCTTGTTCATAGTTTTTCCTGCAGCTTTTTGCCCCTTTCATCTTCACTAACCTTTGTCTGGGATGGAAAAGCAAATATCAGGTCTTCACTTCAGCACATCACTGTTGTTGCACATGAGGTTATCTGGCCCTTGCCCCAGTACAGCTGTCTTACTCATGTTGAAAAGTGTTTCCATTTCATCACAGCTGGTACTGGATCTCATTCAGATGATGAACTTGCCCAGAGTCAGCAGATGGAACAGTGTCCTTCCTTGAAAGAACTTAGGAAGAGTTGTGAAGTTTGCAGGGTTGTGCTGTCTTCCCTCAGGAAATGTCTGCTTTTGCAGAATTTCTGCCTGTATTTCTCCAAGGTTTGAGTGTTCTCCAGGGGTTTGAATGATCAAGTTTCTACTCTTTAACAGCATGTTAGGATTCCTGCCTCTCAGATCTAAACCTGCCATATCCCACTGCAGGTTTTTCACACGAGATCACAGTGTAGCTATATCATACAACTACAGATGTTGAAATTTCCTTTAACTTTCTACCAAACAATTTCCCATGAGATAAATGGGAACTAAAACCCTCATATTATCAGTGTATCCAACTGGCCTGTTTGTCACTACTGATAATGGTAATCTGTGAGACCTTTAGATAAACTGTGCTAAGGAAGAAAGATTCCAAGCTGCATTTGACAAGATAGTATATTTTTTAGCTTCACTTGCATTTTATTTAACTGATAAAGAAGTATTTCATAATCCCAGAGAGAAGAAGGGATTGTGACCTGTTGTACGTTTCAGAAAACCATATGGCTTCACCAGCAAGTTGAAGGTCATGACAACGACTAACTATAAACATCTCTGTATTCTAAGGGCATGTCTTTGTGCTTCTTGACCTACAGAATTAATCTTTCCAACTATAATATAAAGTATATGTCTTGTACAAAGTAGCTTCACTTAAAGGTGTTCCTGGACTATTATCAATGCAAGGTTCTCCTGTCTGGATTTGCCACAAGAACAATAGTCCTAAACCAACAGTTGTAACAACCCATTTTAGAAGGATCAGAATGTCACTCTCCCTTGCTGGACTTCCGCTTGATGAAGTGGCCATTCAGAGGTTGGGCGTCTTTAGACTTTCACCTCCCACATTTTGTTTAGCGCTCTAGTTCAGTCTTCAGAAAGCCCTTCTATCACAGGATACGTTCCAAGTCATAAGAGAGGTGATTGCATTTGAATGTATGACGACTACCTTAGTGATGTCTTCTATGTGTTTTAGTCACACAGCACCATGTAGCTTCACAGGATATGTCACAAGACTTATAAATCTCACTCTTCTATGGGATGGATGTTCCCCTAGCTGCTTGGTGGTCCTTTCCTTCAGTGGTGAGAAGACCTACCCATTCCATTCTTCATTGTGCTCTGTCATAGCAGATGGTCCTTTACAGACAGAGAGCACTTCTGAAAATCATGGGTATCTCGGGGCAAAAGGACCAACCATTTCATATCGGTGTTCTTGAGCTCAGAGCTGTGTAGAACATATGCAGAGCTTTCTGGTCTTCTCTTCAAAAGTATTGTGCCCAGGTCTCAGCAGACAATCTAACCACCACGTGCAGTGTTGACAAGTGGGTTGTCATGAAGTCTCTTTTTCCCCTGCTGGAAGCAAATGATCCAGTCATTCGATATACTAGCAGATGGTTTTGAATCAGTTCAGCTTTGGTGAAGCCAGGCTTGGAGATCAGATCCAAGGATCTAAAGTCCATCTGCCTTTTGTGAAGTACCAGATGTTCTGTTCTCAAGTCAGGTAGTCTTCTGAATTAGATGCAGTCTTGATTCTGTCATCAGGTAAAATTGTATGTGCAATTTCTCAGACCCTAAAGGCTCTGCTTGAGGTAGGACATGAGGAGACCTTCTTTAAGCCTAAGTGTTTCAGCAAACAGACAAATTAAGTACCAGAATAATCTTGATCTGTGAATAAGAAACCTAAAATCTCTCATCCTTTCCTAGTCTGTCAATTCAGAATTTTAGAGGCTCTGTACAATCTCCGTCTTGCTCATGTTTGGGGGCTCTTATAGTCTCATGAACACTTTTGCAAAATAACCTGATGTTATTCTGGGAGTGTTTGTTTCTCTCCAGTCTTTATCCTGTTATCCTGAAGCTCTTGAAGCTGAGACTGTTGTGTGTCAGGTAGTTCAGTCTAGGTCAATTTACCTCTTTGTTCTCTGGGGGCTACTGCTTCAGAGTTCTCATGCTCATTATTTGTAGGCTTGCAAAATGTTGCTGATAGACAACATAAAACTATGAATAAGTAGGGTTATTGGTTGGAATAGTTTAGTGTGCATGCATGGAGTCTTTTAAAAACAGAAAACAGGGAGAGGGAGCTGACTTACAACTTTGTGTAAGGAATGGTAGGATACAAGTATGCCAACCACTAAATGTGTTTTCTGTATAAAAAACCCCAATAAATTAGTGTCCGGTAGTGAAAGTGTGTGTATGTATGACTTTCGGATTCGCACCATGAAAAACTCAGCTACTGGTTCTCTTCCTTCTGTATTAAGTACAGAAGAACGTACTGATACAGGAAAACATATAAAAATAGTAATTATTCGTATTAACAGAGGTAACTGCAGTTGTATTAGCTAGGAGGAAAACAGCCACAAAATACTAGTTTTAACCAAGTCAGATAATTCAGAGGATGCAGGATGTCTGCAGAAAAGGATTCTTTCAAATTTTGGAAGCTTTGTGATTGACCTTAATGCTTGGTGTAATGAGTTAGGTGTTCTTGACTCCTAGCCGATATTGTGCATTAAATCAGTGTTCCTGTGTGCTGTATTCTATTTTCCAATTGAATTGGAACAATTTATCACTTAGTGTAAAGTTGAAATTCAACATTTAGATATATGGTTGCATATGTCAATTTAAATAGGTGCCTGGAATACTTGCTAAGAAATGATGCCAATCCGGGGATCCGAGACAAACAAGGATACAATGCAGTTCATTATTCAGCTGCTTATGGTCATCGCTTATGTCTTGAATTGGTAAGAAAACGTATCATAGATGAAAGCTGTAACAGCTGCTCTTACAGAGTACGATGCAGAGGCCAGGGGATTCCTCCACATTGGTTCTTCATCTGTTAAGCTAGGTCAATCGTGTTTTTCAGCCCCTGTGAAGGTAGATATTTAAGCACTTGGTACTCTTAAAATAGGGGCGAGGTGAGGAGCTAAGATGGTAGATACTGCCTTAAAAAGGTAATACGTTCTGAGATGAAGAGATAACTGTTTGAGGATGTGGGATGTTAGTTTTATTTTGTTTCTTAGCTTAGAATACACTGCTAAATTTTTTCCTGATGGCTGAAATAAAATAACCAGAGGTTATCCCACTGAGAAGTGTTAAGAAATACCACAAATGTCATCTGAAGGAGCAAATTACAATGCAGGAAAAACCTGTAAAGTAAGGGTGCCTTTTAAAATACTTCACGTAGTTAGGGTAACTAATGGCCACATAGTAGAATTTTAGATAATAAAGCCTCAGGTAGTTTTTTATTAATCCCTTTGCAAAAATGTGTATGTAATTTGATATGCTAATTTTATCTTCTCTATGTTATAGAACTTAGTATTTTTATAGGACTTATACTTTTATATTCAAATGTATTCAAGCATGAATTTTGAATGTTTTTAATTGCAGATCGCAAACGAAACGCCTCTAGATGTTGTAAGTATTATTTCTCACTGTTAAAGCACTACTGTACAGCAAAAGGGAACATGTCATTTTAAAAATACTGCTTATTTTTAGACTTATACAACCATTTCAATGCATAGATGTATTGTTTAATTTCAGTTGCAGCTTAGATTTAATTGCAATTCAGAATTTTAAAATAGAAAATTATTTTTAAGCCATTTATTTTTTTTTTTACTTAAACATTTGTATTACCGTATTAGGAAAGTGTGATAATGAAACCTTAGTGATCTGAATGTATTTGGTGTTCTTCAAACACTTCGAGTGCTTTCATTCTACTAGTGTACTAAATTAATTATGGTCTTGAAAAAGACCCAGAATTAAAATCTCAGAGCACACCTGAAAGTAACAAATAGAAACGTGTACACATGAATATTTTAATCCTATTTTATAATGCTTGTGCCTTTTTTGGGTCCATTTTCTTCTCTTTGGGAAATGTTTTTCTGTTCTGAGAAATCAATCCTGCCTTCTGGCTTTTCATACTGTTTTCTTGCCAACTTTTCACCTAATGTAAATGCTTACTTGTTTTGGGGTTGGGTTTTTTTTTTCCTACTACAGCTGTTCTCACCTGTCCTTGTCTTCCCTTTATATGCATTTCATCCATGTTATTTCATATGGCTGCTTCAGGAAAAATAATAATTTTAGATTAGGTTCTGATTTAATTATTGCATTGTTACGCAAAATTAAACAACTGCGCTTTGAGATGAATATGGGGGAGGGGTTGCAGTCATTGCAATTCAAAAATTTTAAAAGGTTGACAGAGATTTAGAATTCCGAAAGAAACTGTAATCCTATGTTGTTCTTCCTATTTTTCTCCCTTTATTTTTCAATCTGTGTATACTGGAAACTGTAGCAATTATTGCTGAACGTTTTTAAAGGTGAGGGGTTTTTGCACTCACTCTGACTTTATCTCTCTGCTAAGCTGATGGAAACATCGGGTACTGACATGCTGAATGATTCAGACAACAGAGCACCTATAAGTCCACTGCATTTAGCTGTAAGTATTTCATTCTTTAGTGATGATAGCTCGTCTAATTGCAAACAACTGTTGACAGATGTCTGTTCATTCTGGATTTTTTAAAAATAGGTCAATAGCAAGAAACGAAATGCAAAAATACGTACATAATATTTCTGACTTGCTGTATACAGGGTGATTTTTGCTTCATTTTGGAATCTTCTTTCATTTGGAATCTTCTAATTAAGACTGATGTTATAATTTATACTAATGAAAATTTTAGAAGACTTGTTCTATAAGTAATGATGACTTTTTATCATCATAAGTGTTTTACCCTCGTTATTTAGGATGAGAAGTATTTGTCAATGCTTGAAGAAAGATTTGCACAAAGAGTAGTGTAGGAGAGGACCTGATGAAACCGTCTATACAAACATAATCAAAATACAGAGTAACCAGCTCAATATGTAGCTTTCATCTTTTCACTGGACTTGGAGCAATTGAAAAACCCCAGTGTACTTTCTGAAAATAGCCTAAATCTCATGCAGTACATACGTATATATATATAATGGAAATTACAAAACAGTACTTGTAGATGTTTATTTTCATTACTAACTTTGACACTTTGTCTTGACACATGCCTACAGAGTATTCTTCATGCTATTTTTTTTTATCCTTGTAAATCCATTCTGATCTCTTAACTGGTTTCATCCCCTAACTCCTTTCTGTTTTACCAGTTATGTTAACTGTAGCTATTTGTACTGTATTCTTTTTACTTACAAATTTTACTGGCTTTTTCTTTTTTAAATATTTTATTAAAAACCTAATAGGAATTAGTTAAGTTTGCACATACTCCTCACTTGAAATAGTCTGAGGGTGATGCAATTCTAACATGAAGCAATGAAACATGCAGTATTCAAAATAGTGGTAGTTACACAAATTGGAGACAGACGATTTTCTGAAAGTTGTTTCAGTTGCTGACTGAACAGATAAAATGGAGAAATCCCACTAACATTCTTGCTTGAAATGGTGGGGGTTTTAAATTAGTCATAACTACTGTAACTACTTACATGCTGCATCAGTAGCTGTTCCACATATTAAAACAAAGCTACTATCTAACAGTGACTTTAATTTATGTAATCCTGGTAAGTAAAGTGAAAAATGTGAAGGGTGGGAAAACTGAAGCATTTTCTTATTCTTGTAGGCCTACCATGGCCACCATCAAGCTCTGGAAGTGCTGGTACAGTCGCTGCTGGACCTTGATGTGAGGAATAATAACGGAAGGACACCATTGGATCTTGCCGCCTTTAAGGGACACGTGGAATGTGTAGATGTGCTCATTAATCAGGGAGCATCAATCTTGGTGAAAGATTATGTTGTAAAGAGGACCCCAATACATGCTGCAGGTAGGTGCTAACCGCTAACCTCTGAAATTGGGGGGGTTGAAGTGGATCATCTTTTCGTTTAGAAGTCTCTATCCTTAATGTTCTAAGAAATGGTGTTTAGGAATAGATGATGACTTTAAAGGTGTATGCTGTGCCGAGAAAGGTGTAACAAAGCAGTTGTGGGTGGAAAACGGTATTAACCCAATAAATGGTCTGGGCTGGGAGTGCTGTTCCCCACTGCTCACTGGAAGGGTGCATAGTCCTTGTCCCTTCCACCAGCTAGGCTAGCTGTGCTGCCAGGTGTCAGCGACACGTTCCTGCTTCTCTCCTCGTCTTTCATGCAGCCCAAACTGTAGGCCCGAATTTAGATTTGTGAATTGTGTTGCCTATCTTGGCAGTAGAATACTTCTAAAAATGACTGGAGTCCTGGAGAATTTTGTCAGTTTGAGAAGAGACATGAAAACTATGCTTTGGGTCTTTTCCAAGGATTTAAATGACTCCTGAGTGTTTTCAAAATAACAGCAATCCTTTGCAATATTTTCTCACTGCCTTTCCTAGAAAAATTCTATAAACCTACCTTTCTCGAAGTCTAGTGTTCATACTATATTCTTATTTTTTCCTCTCTTTGAAAATAGGCTTGTTTAAATCGACATTTATAGTTACAGTATTGTAGAAATGTTGCAGTAAAAAGAGCATTATATACAAAACATTATCATTCTAATCACTTAATTTGTTGTCCATGAGCACAAGCTGTATTCTTGTATTTGATTTAGCTTCTCCTAAGTTCTGTTAGCATTTCTGTCCACTAAAGAAGCATGAATTGTCACTGTTCTTATGTAGACTGAATACAGCAGCTGTATGTCAGAAATAATTTCCCCTCCAACAAGCAATCATTTGTCTTTCATGAGTTGCATTTAAATGTGATTTCTCAATTTTTTTGTTTCTTTTCTTTCTCCTTTTTTTAACTGCTTGGTTAATTACTTCTATGCATTGCATTTCCTTCCACTCTTTCTAAATGTGATTTCAGTTATCGTTTCATAACTGTGCACATGCTACGCTTGCTAACAAAATCTGTGTATGATGGGCTAGGTATGTGTTTACCTGTGCCTTAAAACAAGCAAAAGTTATGCTAATTACTATATTTAATTATTCCTTCTTGTGGATGTTGTAGAAGCATATATTCTAATTATGGTTAAAGTGTGCAAGCTCATTTATATGTAAAAAACAAATACCTTGTTGGCAATTGACAGTTGGAATGGATTACTTTTAATACTATACAGTTGCAAATGCCTAATTTCTGCAATAATTTTCTAGTGTTCATATTTTTTGGTTTTAAGTTATAACAATGGTAAAGCTGTACAGTGGGTTCTCAAGCTAACCGGCTTTAGTTTGAGCAAGTTACTGTTCTGTTTGAGCTGTATACTCAAAGGCAATTAATGTAAAACTCGTGTTTTTATGATGTTTTACAGCTACCAATGGTCACTCGGAATGTTTGCGGCTATTGATAGGAAATGCAGAACCACAGAACGCTGTGGACATTCAAGATGGAAATGGACAGTGAGTTTAAACAATACACATTCTGTTCTTCACAAGTTGCTGCATTTTATAAAAGGAAAAACTAAATATTTTACACTGGGGATTTTTAATTTATTACTTTAAAGGGAGATGATATTTCAACTAGGACAAATGAGACTGTGTATTTGGCAATAAACATACTCTTGGCAGTGAAAAATGTTCTTGTTCGGTTGGGAGGAAACTAAAATATGTTTTATTGCCCAGATGCTGAAAAACGGATTCTAGTAACTTAATCAGGACTTCTGAATTAAGCAATATTAATTTTATTTTCTTGTACCTAAAAAGCAAATGAGTAGCATTCTCAGAGTGAAGGCAGTGCTAGAGAAGATCATCGATGGTGTAAATTTGAACAGCGTTGTCCAGAAGGACAGCAGTTGCTACATTTCAGCTGAGTGCTAGTCTGTTAAATTTCCGTGTAGATTATGCTTTATTTCACTCTCTGCTTAGGACTCCTCTGATGCTGTCAGTTCTCAATGGGCACACCGACTGCGTTTATTCACTCCTTAACAAAGGAGCAAATGTAGATGCCAAAGATAAGTGGGGAAGGACGGCATTACATAGAGGGGTAAGCGAGTATTCCTTTTCTGGCCTTTCCAGTTTCATGCATATTAATTTCAGATACAGACTTAATATGTAGCGTTAATGAATTTCTCATTATTCTCATCTTGCCATTCTTAGTTTTTAATTGTCTTTTTAGTTGCTTTCAACAGGCAAGCTTTTGCCTGTTTGCTCTGTATCCTCAAAATTCTTTCGGACTTCTGGAGTCTCTTAAGCTTGCTGTAAAGTGTTGACTGGAGAGGTCCCACAGTACTGCTTTTTGTTATGGGGTGGGGGTAGTGTTAATGGGAGGAAGAAAAGCGTAATGCATGCCATATGCCAATTTTTTTTTTTTTATAGTCTCTGCCAGATAAGACAATTGAATGAGCCCTCGAGATTAGCAGTTCATTCAGTGTTATTCCAAGAAGTGATTCTGTCATCAATATGATAATACATTGCTGTTTTTCCAACAGAATGGCTCTTTCCAGGAATACAAATAACTGTGCTTATTTTGTTATTACTTAAAAATGTAAGAAATCGTCTGACGTTTGCTTGCTTTAGTTATACACCTTGGCATATAGACATGAATATTTGCCAAGTTGCTATTTCCTGTCTCTCTCACAGGCAGTTACTGGGCATGAGGAATGTGTGGAAGCATTGCTTCAACATGGTGCTAAGTCCTTATTACGAGACTGTAGGGGGCGAACCCCTATACACTTGTCAGCTGCATGTGGACATATAGCTGTTCTAGGAGCTCTCCTGCAGTCAGCTACATCCGTGGATGCAGTACCTGCGATAGCAGACAATCACGGCTATACATCACTGCATTGGGCCTGCTATAATGGTAAAATACATTAAAGTTAAAATACAGGTCTAAATGTATTTATTGATATTGAGACAGAAGTTATAACTACTTATAAAACCAACATATAAAGTCTGTCCTCTTTCAGTTTGTATTAGTCAATGTGACAATATGACGGGAATTGAGGGGGGATGCATTACTGTCTAATACATAATAGTATCTAACACATGGTATCTTGAGGGGGAATGCATTACTGTCTAATACATAATAGTATCTAACATCTAATACACAAACATTTTTGTACTACATTTTTTGTTATGAACTGCCTTCTTAGTTTTATGCCTCAAGGAGTCTTTCTAGAAGTTCAGCACAGTACCTGTGAAGAGAAATGTGCCACATGTCCCGAAAATATAACCATCACAGGGAGTCTTGGTTTCAGATTAAATCTTTTTTTAAACTTCCTTCAAATCAACCTGGATAGGCACAAGAAGTTAAAGTATATGACAGTGATTCAATAAGAGGTTTGGTTTTGTTTTTTTTTCTTCATTGATACTTTTCTTGGATTTGGGGGTGAGGGAGGCCTTAAAAGGTAGGAAACTCATTCACCTCCTTTGCTAAAGATTTTGTTCTGTGTGTTCCTTTCTGACATAGTAGAGGTTCTCATTTATTTTACCTCTGAGTCACGTGATAGAGAAAGATCAAGGAGTAAGGATGTAGAGCTTCACTTTACCAATTACTTTTAAGTGAATAACTAACGAGGCTGTCTTCACAGCTGAAGCAACTGGGTAGTACATTGATTTGAACCGGAATAACATCTCTTTATCACATTCGTAAAATTAAATTCTTACGGCTTGGTCCATTTTCAGAGTGACCACAGTGTCTGAATAAAACAGAACGGAAATATGCTTGAATTGTAGAATGAAAATTGGACAGGACTTGTGAAAATCCAGATCTTCAGACAACAGTGAATGTGGAAGGTTCTCTGCGTATACACATTGAAGATCAAACAGATCGTTACAATTGTTAGCTACCTGTACAGCAGCAGGCTATAGAATTTTGAAAATAATAGTATAATAGGTTGAACATGTTCTTTTTCACACATTTTCTTTTATTATGACCATCGATTTGATTTTTCTTTGGGTTTAGCAAGACAGTGGAACAAAAATAACCCCCAAATGGTGGAGACGTTTTCATGTAGACTAAGTGATGAATGTACAGAAGAGTTTGAAACGTGGTGGTATAAAGAACTAAATTAAGTGTTCTGGATGTTCTTCAGGCAGCATCAGATCCCTTCTAAATTTCAGAAAGTTTACAGTGTTAAATGTCAGTTTGATTTTCACGATTCTAAAAGTGTCTTTGTTCCTAAATGTAGCCCTATCGAATATAACCAGTGTGATGTTGAAATTTTCAGGTGAAATACTGCTTAATCTAATTTAGATACATAGTTTTGTTGTAATCCATAGATAGACCTTTTCCCTTTTTTTAATATCTAACTTTTACATTTGCTTTAGGTCATGACAGTTGTGTAGAGCTGCTCCTGGAACAGGAAGTTTTCCAGAAAATGGAAGGAAATTCTTTCAGTCCATTGCATTGTGCTGTGTAAGGAAGTGCAAAATTATTCTTTATAGATTTCATTGCTGTATTTAACAAAAGATTTATCATTGTGTAAATAACAGTCTGTTTAATTCCTTATAGGATAAATGACAATGAAGGTGCTGCAGAAATGTTAATTGATACACTAGGTGCTGGTATTGTAAATTCAACAGATTCAAAAGGAAGGTAAGAGTGCAAATGCACAGTGGAAGAATGTTTGTAATGTAATAGAGTTGCTCGGCTAAATTCTATAATCATTTGGGGGTTTTGTATTTGCTACTGACATTAATTCCCCCTTTCCCCTGTTTTTATTCTTTTAAGATTTTTTTTTTTATTCTGTGCTAGAAATAAATTTTAGATTTTTAAAGAACTGTTCTGTTCAATAAACTTGAATTGGCTTCTTATTACATAGGCAAGTTTGAGCATGTTTTAAATTGTATCACTTTGTGGGTAGTATTTTATGCATGTTTTATTTTTTCTGAATCAAATCGTATCTATTATAAATGACATAGAGGGAATTATTTGAGACTTGAAAGTATCTTTCTAAAGGCAGCAGTCACAACTGCAGCAATACTGATTTCAAAGGATCAGTGAGAGGGCCTGCCCAGTCTTTTGTATCTGTAGGGTCATAGTCAGCATTCCCCTTTGAATAAAGTACAAAGCATGGCTGAACATGGCCATGTTGTCTCTTGATCTGTTGTAGAACTCCTCTTCATGCAGCAGCTTTTACGGATCACATTGAGTGTCTACAGCTTCTGCTCAGTCACAACGCTCAAGTAAACGCTGTAGATTCTTCTGGGAAAACACCTTTAATGATGGCTGCAGAAAATGGACAGACAAATACAGTTGGTAAAGAGAAAGCTTTATATATTTCTGCTCTTAAGTTTGTTAATCCTACTGTGGGTAAAGTTGCCTTACAGTTAACATTCTTGTGGATATATTTTGTCAAAATTATGTTTTCGTTTTGTACAAATGTAAGCCATTAATACTTTAAGGAATGTGCTTTTAGGTAATACAAATCTTTATTTCCCCAGAGGTGCTGGTTAGCAGTGCTAAGGCTGATCTGACTTTGCAAGACAGTTCTAAGAACACAGCACTCCATTTGGCTTGCAGCAAGGTGCGTGCATGGTCTGACTTACCAGTGCTGAGCTTTCTGTTGTCAAGCGCTGATTGCAAATGTTAACTTGTTACTTTGAAACTGCATTCAAAGCATTTTTTGAAGAGTATTTGTTACATGACAGATGTTTGTTCTGTATTAAGGGTCATGAAACTAGTGCCTTGTTAATACTGGAGAAGATTACGGATAGAAACCTCATCAATGCCACCAATGCAGCCTTGCAAACGTATGTATCAGCGGTTTGTGTTTGACAGATGAGTTTTTGGTGTGTTTCTGCTAAAACCGCTATCTTGCTTATAAAGAGGAATATTTTTCAAGAGTTTTCTTCCAAATCAGTTGAATTTTTATTGAACTGCTTAACACAGGTATCAATAGTTTAACTGACTTGAAGTGAAATGGTGTTTTGTTCATACTTAAAGTTCTAGTTTTAGCTGAGAGAAAGGGATGATAAATAAATCTTACAGTATTGTGATTCAGGGAATCCTGTGTGGAATTACTGCAATCTGATGAGATTACCTGTAAACCAATTTATTTTTTTTTTTGTTGTATACATTATCTAATTTGTCAATTAAAATTCACTTCAGTTAGCAACTCATTGGAGGCAAACTGAGACTTGGTCTTCAAAGCTAGCTAATAAAAAACCCAGCTGAACTACGCTTTTATTCTTCAGCATGCTTTCTGTTAGGAAAAGATATCTGTTGCAACTAGGATAAAAGACTTTTCTATTAAATGTGATGGAGACTGTAGCATTTTTAATGCTTCCTGAAGATCTTCTCTCAAGTAGAGTTAAGCCTATTTTGTTAGCCCAACCAGAAGGAAAACTTAAAAACGTAGCAGTGTGTTGTACTGGGGAATATATTTCAGGATGAGCTTTAAAATGACTCTTCTGCGTTTTTTTCCTTTTAAATAATGTGTTTGTGTTATAGGCAATATTTGACACCTGACATGTATATGAGTTATGTACATGAATTGTTAGGCTGCTTGAATAATGCTATCACAGACCATTTAGGGAAAAAACCCACCAGAACTTCTAAGCAACTTGTGTATTTATCTGGCCTTACATCCTTTCTGGAATCTGTCATGTTCAAACTCCTACAGCTCTTCCAACTGTTCTCAAGAGATCTGCTCGAACTCTGGAGTTAAGATAGTAAGAGGTCTTCCTCTGCTCTTGCTGCTCACCATGGTGCACCTCAGGCAGCGTGAAATAACCAGAAAGCAGGAAAGGGATTCATTGCCCCATTTCTGGCTTGAAGGGGGGGTATCTTGGGAGGAGGAAAAGCAGAAATGAGGTGGGAACAGAAGTGGGAAAGTATGCTACCACAGGCTCATCTAATTCCACCCACATGCCTTGGCGCATGTAGTCTGATGGAGAGATGTCATGGGGAAAAATAGGTACATATTCACACCTCCATGAAATGTTTATCTAAATTGCAAGATTTTAACAGTTGTTTAAAATATTACCGGTTTAGCAAATGTTTTTTAATAACTAAACTGACTTTCTAAACAGCTTTCATTATAAACAATGTCCTACTTTATGCCAAGATAAGCATTACAATTGTTTGCCTCTGTTTTTATTACAGTTACAGTACATTTTTCAGTATATCTGTGGTGTGCAGTAGTTCTTCAATTTTAATACTTTATTATAAGCACCATATATACAGCTTCTCTGAATTGTATCTTTTGCATTTCTCGTCTGTAAGTAAGGCACCTGTTTCCAAATCAAAATACAGTTCACAGTTAATTCAAACAATTTTAAGAATCTCAAAATAAATGAAGAGCAGTATAAAGCAAA